CGGTCCTTGTATGCAATGCATACTGTTAGGCAGCAGGCCGTGGCTGAACAGTTGGAGCCCCTGACTGTCTATGACCTTCGGCGCGCCTTGGCGCGCGCGAAGCCGAAGGCCATGATCAGACGTCGCCGCTGGATCCCGAACAACTACCAGACGCTGGCCTGGAGCAGCTATGTCAATTTTACCTTCTCATCGAAGAAGGTTTAGCATGGCCTTGGCAAATTATGGTCACAGTTGGACGGCTGCAAGGGAACAAGTCAGGCGGCGACATGATCATCATATTAATATCAATGATACATCGGTTGTGGAGTTTCGCACGCGAGGATCAGATGCGGGCCTGGGCAACGCAGTCAGCCCCTCATTGGGATGCAGCAGTTGCGGGCAACAGCGCATTAAGAGAAGCATTCGTGCGAGCTCAACTATGAAGTGCGTGCACGGATGAATATAGCGCGAGGAGAAGCATTCGTTGACCTCGAGGCATTTTGCGGCAGCATAAAGTATGATATTATTGCGGGCACAGCGTTGCGTCTACACTTTCCACCACTAGTTCTCCGTTTGGAAATGCAGGCACGCGCGACGCAACGGGCGCTGCCCCACCTCAACTCCTTCTCCTTGCTTTTTTTTCAGAGCACGCGAGGGGTCATCCAGGGCATCGGAAGTGGCGTCCCTTTTGGGCGCTGCTCAACGCATTTTGCGCTGCAGGAGCTTCGCGCGGCTCACCCACGGATGTCAGAGCGGACCTGGATTGACGATTTGGCGCAGCGAACGGTTGGCTCGAAGGCCCAGGTCAAGCGGGATCCCATCGGGAGCATCACTGACACGGTCTCCGAGTTTCAGCAGGTATCCCTCAGTATTGCGGCTCAAAAAACAGTGACCTGTTCTTCGCATGGTGACGCTGAAGCAGTGGTTCGTGCACTTCGGCGACGGGGCGCACACATCACGGCTGCACCCCGGACAGCATATCTAGGAGCCGACATTGGCCATGGGGTCCGACATGCCCGCGAGACTGCTCGTAAACGGGCGGTCAAAGCAGGGCAACAGCACCAGAAAATAAGGCGCATGATGGCTGCAGCACGACGGTATGAGATCACTTCTCGCATCGAGCGAGCGGGGCCTCAGGCTGTGGTCACGCACGGGCATCAAATCTACGGTAAGTTTGGGAGTTCCATGCAGCTTCAGCGACGTCGCCTTGGGGCAGCGCCAGGAGCAGCGCGGCGAGGTCGGTGCGTGACAACGCTGATCGGGATTCGCGCTGCCCATGCTGATCCAGGCCTTGTTCTTCCACGCCAATGTTTGTCTCAGTGGCTGCAGGCGCGGATCACAGAGCCGCCGATCAGAGCAGGAGTGTATAGGGTTTGGCCTCAGGTAGTTCAGCATTTTCGCCAACTATCTGAGGCTCATAGGTCAAGACACATTCGCGGACCAGTACCGACATTGATTGCCGATGTGCTGCAGGCTGGCTGAAATCCGATATCCCCGTCAGAGTGGGATCTTCCGGATGACGATGGGCAAGCGCTTCACGCGTGGAAGCTCGATGATGAGGCTCTGTGTGCGTTGGACCGGGCAGATGATCGACTTCGGAAGTTTGAAGGATCGTTACCCCTGCTGCAGTGGCGTGAAGCTGCTGATCTACACTGCGGTGGTGGCTTAAAAGAGGGCGCTAACCTGATAAGTTTGCGCAAGTTTATCGGTAGCCTTCAGCATGTACACAAATGGCGGCAGCTTGCTGAACTTATGGTGTCCATCGCAGTCGGAGGAGTGTGGACGAGTGGTCACAAGCTGAGCGTGAACATCGGCACGATCAGCGGCTGTGATAGATGTTATGAAGCTCCCGAGTCTGACGTTCACAGGAATGGGTTGTGCAAGTGGAATCGCGGAGGTAGAGCATTCGATCAATCAGAAAATCGTATTCCAGAAGCAGTTGCAAATCATGATGTACTCCATTGCTTCTGGAGTCGAGGCATCATCCCAGCCAGGTGGACACAAGTACCTCCACCTAGCGTGGACGAAGCCTGGACACGAGACAATCGTCATGGTGGACCATCTTCTTCGGAGACGGCACTACCGAGTGCCCTGTTTATGCCTTCGGAGATGCATCTGGAGGCCAAGACACCAACGATGTTCGGCTTCGGAGAGTGGGCTTGACAGTCTGCGTGATCACAAGCTTCATGGCCTTCACAATTGGCCCGTTCCTCATGGGGCCCTTGGCGGGAGGGGTGCAGACAGTGTCCAAAGGCGAGCTCACGGCCCTTGAGCTCGCCGTTCGCGGTTCGACTGGGTTGCTGATGTTCGTCACGGATTGTTCAGACGGGTGCCGAGGATGGTGGTCGCAGCTTTACCGTGCTCCTGTTGGGTGTCATGCAGGGCTGTGGAGGCTCATCGGTCGACATCTGGAGGAGCAGCAGCGGTCACAGTCAGATATCATAGTTATGCAGATTCCATCGCATTCGAGTGCAGAGGAACTGTGCGCCAGGCGGCTGCCCAGCTGGATGGTGCAAAGCAACGGGGCAGTGGACCACTTAGCTGGAGTTGCAGCGGAAGCAGCACGAGTTCCAGCTGAAGATAGACACAGAGTGTTAACGGTTGAGAAAGAGGCCCTTCTCGTTCGGCGTCGGCTGCTGCGAGTTGGGCTGTGTTCATTCCAGTGTGAGGCCGGGAAGAAGGCGACAGCTGCTGCGGCCGAACGAGCAGCACGGATCGCCTCCCAGGCCGCAGGTAGTGAGTGTGATCCTCCCCCTCCTGCGTGTCCTCCGATGCCGCCGCCTCCCGCTCCATCTGTTGTTGCACGCTTCGCGACTGCACACACCCTTACTGAAAACGGTAAGTCTTGTTCGGTGTGTCACGGGTCAGCGACTTTAGCTACTATGCCCGAATGGCTGTAAAGTTGTTGCGACGCTTTAGTTTCAATGGACGGTAGGGTGTCTCGGGTGAAAAGGGGGTGTCATATGCATATCGCTGCAGGTTGGGCCCACCCTCACACGCCCTAATGTTTCCTCATTCGTTAGGAATTTGGTATTGCAGTGTATGCGATTACTTCGGACACTCCCAGCTCAGAGGATTAGGTACCGTCTGCAAGCTACCAGTTTCCAAGACTCGTCAGGAATATCTTGATACAATTCTGCGTGACGAGTTTCCAAGTACAAGTGATCTGAGCCTCGAGCAGTGGCTTGAGCAGTGGATATGTATATATATACACGTATATATATATATATATATATATATATGCTCATTTTCGCTACGCGAAGGCTGTAATTCCTGGAATCCCTCCTCCCCCTCCCCTCCCCCTCCACCTCTTCCTCCTCCTCCTGCTCCTCCTCCTCCTCCTCTCTCTCTGTCCCAGCTGCGGCTTGCACCTGCTGCAGCAAGGGCCTTGGAAGGCCGCGCTGCGAGCGGGGCACGGGCAGGCGAAATCGGCCAGCGGTGGGCCGAAGGGGAAGGATGCAAAGGCAGCCTTGGAAAGTTGCTCATCCTTACTGTGCGGGTTGACTGTAGGGCAGGAGACTCAACCGTCAGCGCCTGCAGCCTCTCTTGCACCTTTGGCTTGAGGCGCCCTGCAGCGGTTCACGTGAACAAGAAAACTCTTCCTCATCCTCCGCCTACTCATCCTCTGCCTCCGCCTTTCTCCCTTTTAACCGAATCCTCCCTGTTACGACCCCAGACGTGTCGGTAGGGCGAGTGGGGCGTTTCGCCTCAGGCTTCCTCACCACGTATGGCCCTGAAGCTTGGAATTTGCAGCAGTTTCACGGGTGGAGGGCAAGTCCTTTTCAATAGTTGGCTCTCGCCTTGGCGCCGCGCACGTCTCAAAAGCTTGCAACGGTAAGAAGAGGTAGTTCTCGCCAAAGCGCGGCGTACATTCGTCGTAAAATGTTGCAACAATGTCAACGATGCGTATGTTTGACGTCCCCAGAATGGTTCAGAATATCAGTACGCAACAGTCGCATTGATTCGCGGAGTTCAAGTCCCAAGCACGGTGTGTTGGCAGCCGATTTTTGTCGCAGCCGCCCTAGTCCTTTTCCCTCTCTTGCATGCCCGCAAATTAGCCATTCGGTTGCACCAAATTGCCAGTCGCTGGAGCGGACCGCCTCTGCATCGCCGCCGACGGGAAAATTCTGGCACGGCCTAAAACTCTCAGACGGTTGCATTCCAACGGGGTACTTTCCAGAATGACAACAAATTCGTGCAGTGGCGAATGAAAAGGGAACTTGGAGGGAGGGTTCATTGTACCATCCTTAATACGCCTTGGGTTTACTCTGGTCCTCCTCCTCCTCCTCGTCCTCCTGATATTATTCCTCCTTATCCTCCTTCTCCTCCTCCTGTTCCTCCTCTCCATTCCCCTTCCTTCCTCCCTTCCTCTCCTTTCCTCTCCCCCTTCCCCTTCCTGACGTAAATCTGCCGCCGCGCTTTCACGCAGAAGTCGCGTGTCGGGCCGATATATGTTTTCCTACCTCATGCACACTCCTTCCGCCTCCCGCCTCCCTTCTCCATCCTCTCTCCCCACCTCCCCTCTCCCACATCCTCTCCCTCCGTGCTCTGGTGCACCAAACGTGCCAGGCTCGGCCGCCTCACTCTGCGAACGCAGCGCCCCCACCCGCGCGCCTGCTCAAAAGGACACGGCCGGGCCGAGCACGGGAAACGTGCTGCGACAACTCCGCTCTCTCCACTCCTCCGAACGCTGCCCCTGGCTCTTTCTCTTCCACGCCCGTCGCAAATCCTGAGATCCGACAGCGCGAAAGAATGAAGACATCGCGGAGAGTCACGACGGGAGCCCCGGACTCCCTCGTTCTGCTCCATGCTCCGAGCTGGATCGATATGTGAGGGCCCCCGGGCCCAAAACTTCGCGACAATGCCAAGATCGGGAGACAAAAAAAAACATAAAAAGGCAAAACAACAACAACAACAACAACAACAACAACAACAACAACAAAGAAAGAAAAAAAAAAAAAAAAGGCCCCGCCGACCGACGCGGTCCCCGACATCCGGGGGGGGGGCGGCGGGGCTGCGACGTCGTTCAGCGCCCGGTGGTTGTACTGGCTGTCGCGGCCCTCCCACAGCCGAAGCCTCTCGGGCACCCAGAGCCTGCCCGGGCTCGGGGGCAGCGCAGCGGCCGGCGGGGAGGAGGAGGAGGAGGAGGAGGAGGAGGAGGAGGAGGAGGAGGAGGAGGGAGCAGGAGGAGGCAGGAGGAGGAAGGAGGAGGAGGAGGAGAAGGAAGGAGGAGGAGGGAGGAGGGAGGAGGAGGAGAGGAGGAGGCAGGAGGAGGAGGAGGGGGAAGGCGAGGGGCAGATGAGGGCCAGGAGGTAGGTGGGGGAGGAAGAAGCAAAGGAGGGGGAGGAAAAGTAGGAGGGAACTCTCTCCCCCCTCCCAAAAGCCGACTGACCCTGGGGGGGAGGGAGGGCAACATCCGCGGAATATTGCTGCCATCAGTCCAAATTCCACAGGAGGAAGAAGAGGGGCAGATGAGGAGGCAGGTGAAGGAGGGAGAGGGAAAGGAGGGGGAGGAAAAGGAACGACATCAGAGAAGATCAGGAGGAGGAGGAGGAGGAGGAGAAGGTGAACGAGAGGAATGCTGGAAGTGATAAGACCTGAGGGCGTCGTAATCCCATTATTAGTGGGACCAGCGGCCTTGTGTGCTGCGAGTGCGACGGCTCGGCTCGAATCTCGACGAGAAGACGTGGGAAACCGAGAAGCACCGATACCGCTGGTCCCCGACCTCTCCCAGGGTGCGTTCTGCCCAAAATTCCGAGACGAGTACAACAAGTACAACAAAAACCTCCCAGGAGGCCCAACAAACACAACGATTTACAACCACAGTTGCAACAGAACGGGCGGAGGCTAGCGGTATGGGTACCTTTTTCCTGAACAAAAGGGGATGAGCATAAGGAAGAGACGGGAAATTGGAGGGCACAGCGGGGAAGGGGAAGTGGGGGAGTGGGGGAGTGGGGAGTGGGAAAGCAAAGCGGAAGGAGGAGAGGGGAACGGGGACAAGGGGGACAGGAGCGGGAGGGGAGCGGGCGTGAAAGGAAAGGGTCACAGGGGACGGGGACGGGGACAAAAAAGGCAGGCGAGGGGAAGAAAAGCACACACCCGGAGACGAGGCAGGGGCATTGGGACGAGGAGACGGGCACGGGAAGCCCGACGGCGGCGGGTACAAGGGAACGGGGGAAATAATGGGGGAGGGGAGACGGGACAGGGGAGGCGGAGCGGAAGGGGTAAGGGGAAAGCTGGCCATCGCTCGGACGTCCACTCCCTGTGTTTTTGTTCGGTCTCGTGCGTGGCTTTTTCGCCAAATGATCAGGGATGCTCCTCGAGGGTCCTCGCCGAAGGAGAAAGGCACACGTCCGAGCGATGCCAAGAAAGTGGGGGGCGGGGGAAAGGGGACCAGGGGCGATACGCGACTGCACTCCCAAGAGTCATACCCGGAGTCGCCGACCCCCGGAGGGCCCCGCGGCGCGACGGCGCGGCGCCAAACGGATCCCGGGGGGCCGCCCGCGGGCACGACGCCCTGCCACGCACGGAGGGGAAGAACATGGATACCATGACCAAAACTAAACGCGGAAACGTCGTGCCGATCTCGGTCGCCGTCGATCTTGGTCAGCGTCAACTCGTGGATCATCCCCCCGAACTGGCGGCGGCCGACACGGACCATGACCAGGATCGGCATCGACAAGATCCTGCGACATCTTGGCCATGGTCCCCATGTTTCTTCCCTCGGGCGCAGTCATCAACATCATCAGGTATTGGGCATCGAAAAGCCCAGCCCCTTTTTCAATTTTGCGCACCCCGCCCAGCTCCCACACAAGCCCCGAATCCTCCACCCCATCCGAGTATCCCCTACTTCCTCGTCCTCCTCCTCCTCCGCCTCCGCCTCTAGCGCACAGGGCCCAAGGCGCGTAGGTCCCCCTATAGGCTGAAGCGCGTCATGGGTCCCGCCCCGCCGCCTCAGCGCGGCGCGCTTGCGGCGAACCGCACATCTGGATTTCTATACATTGGAGAGCGGGCCAGGCAAGGACGGGGCGGACAGGCCAGAGCAAAGAGTCACTCAATTGCTTGGCTTGGGGTTGCCAAGGTGCTGCATTCCTGAATGTACGGGTTGTTTTCATGCGGGGTCGACTTTCTCAATTTTCCCGCGCACCATATTCGCCGTCCGTCTCGGGCGCGGGGGCCATGGGGGGGGGACCTGATTGCGCATTGACCTACCCGCCCGCACTCGAGAGTACTTCATCACACGTATGGAGAGGAATGGCCCATGGGCAAGAACTCCCTCCTGGCCAACCTTACCAAACTCGGGCCCTGGCTCGCCCGAGTCGGCGGCCAGGTTCCCGCGAGTGTTGCTTCGAGCTAGCGCCCTGCCGCGACTCACGAGAACGCCCCGAAACCTGAAACGAACAAAAAACAAAAACGTGAGCAACCGTGCCTCACGATGACGGCACGACGCAGGGGCACCGCCCGCTTAGCCGGTCGTCTCGAGAAGACACCGCGGACACGTGACACATGAGAGAGCGGCAACATCACGAGAAGGAGGAAGGGAAAAGGAAAGGCGGAGAGAAGAAGGACCAAGACGGACCCGTGTCCCCCCGAAACCCTGACGGGGAGACCGTCGAACATAAACCCGCACCGAGAAAGAGGAGTGAAAAACACATCATTGCTGTGGGCTGGATTGGTTGGACAATGGATTCTTGGTGGATTGCGTTCCGAAGAGCCTGAGATCGAATGCGTGGTTCGCATAACCGTTATGTGCTTAAGTGTGGTGCTGGCCTTCTGAATTCAAAAATGGTGAAGCTCTAGCGGCCATGTTTGTATGCTGCCTTCCGAAGGAACTGAGGGTGCATGGCTTGTTCGCATGATTGTCATGTACATGTGGCGCTGGCCTTCTACAATCAATAAAGGTGAAGTTTGCAGCTATGCCAACAGTCTTCCAGCTCCATATGATACAGTCAAGTCGGCGTACAGTGTACCTTGCCAATGTAATTCAATGATAACAATTCGTTTCCACGACTGCCTGTTCGCCCAGTGCGTTGCTGATTCGTGGTGATGTTCTACCGCCTCCTAGAGGCCGTCATGGTGATCACTATGCGTGCTTTGAGGGTCGGGCATCGTTCCATGGTCATGCTCCTGCTGAAATCAATCCTCCTCCTCATCATCATCAGCATCAGCATCATCATCATCATCAGCAGCAGCATCATCATCAGTAGCATCAGCATCATCAGCATTAGCATCATCAGAATCATCAACATCAGCATCATCAGCATCGGCATCAGCATCAGCATCATCATCATCATCAGCATCATCAGCATCAATCATCATCGTCCCCCTCCCCATATTCCGCGTGCGTTGGCACAGATACGCGTCAATAGCACCACGCGCAGTGGAAACGCAGGCGCACGGTGCGCGAGGAGGTGAAAGCTGAAGCCGCAACCACCCCCACCAATTCTTGCAGACCACGCATCCGCGCTGTCGCGATTCGAGGTTCGCGCGGGCGCCACTACAGCTGGGCAGGCGCGCCGCTGCAGGGGATGGGGAATGATGCAGGGAGATCGATGAAAGGGAAATGGTGGAACGGGAATGAACGTGGACTACATGTCTATACGTGCTATGAAGCAACGAACGAGCCGAACGGACAACAAGAGAAATACATGCACCTGTACAGAGATGAATGAGCAGCAAAAGATAGCGATGAAGGCGCAGGTGGTGGTTGCAACCTTTGTGCAGACATAGGCCACTGTGGGACCGTGCTGGATACTTGATAGAGTTGGAAAGAGCAAGAGCGACCGAGGGGGGTCACAGGAGAGTCGATGACGCAACACCAGAAAGAAATAAGCGCAGGGGAGTGGGTCGATACATCACCTGTCATAGAAGCAATACAGGATGCATGATAAGGGGTTTGAAGATGCTGCCTAGCCATCTGGAAGAACGAGGACACGTCGATAATTCGGTGGCTGAGGTGACGGTACACCTGCGGCATCTCCACCTGCGGCAGTTCGGTGAAGAATCGAAACCCGCTCACCAAAGTAGAACGTGATAAGACAAATCAGAAATGCCGAATATGAGCGCAGTGGTGAGTGGAAAACAGATAAAGCAAATAGCTCGCATACCACACGATGCGAGTCCAAAGTCGCAATCGTGCGTTATCGACTGTTGTGACTGATGTAGTGCAGCACATGCATATCGGCGACTTCCTTGACGCGTATACGATTCTCCTCATCATCCTCCCCCTCCCCTCCCACCTTCCTACTGCTCCCGCCCGCCCTCCCTCAATCACCCGCCGCCCCCTCCCCACCAAGACACTGCAAAAGCCCACATTCTGAGGCCATCTGGTGCGACCGGGCAGGACCAAAAGGAGCAGGAAAAGAGAAGGGTATGATCAAGACGACGACGACCACGTGAACGAGAACGACGATTAGCGTGTGGGCGAGGGTCAGGAGAGAGGAGGAAGAGAGGAGGAGCAGGAGGAGACGGACGAGGAAAAGAGGAGGACGAGGAGAAAAGGAAAGGCCTGACACTGGACCATCCGCGCCGATATGATATCAGCTGCCTGCGGCCTTCACCTAAGCATGCGGCCCCTGGCACTGTGCCAGCGAACGACGCGAAGCAGGTAGCCTGTCTTCGCGAGCGGCGCATCAGCGCTGAGCACGATCGGCGGGGAAAGGGGCGGGCGAGGTCTTCGCCCAGAGATCACCCGCCTCCTCTCCGTCCTCGCCCTTCCCACCCCCCGGCGATGACACGTGCAGCTCATCATTATATCAAGTTGGCCCCTGGGCGACGACGTCATCGTCATTGTCTACGTCTTTGCGTAGCCGCCATCACCACCACCACCATCAGAATCATCAGCATCAACAACAACAACAACAACAGCAACGGCAGCATCAGCATCATCATCATCATCATCATCATCACCATCATCATCACCATCATTATCATCAGCAGCAGCAACATCATCACCATCGCCATCACCATCATCTTCAGCTTGATCATCATCATCATCATCACCAGCATCACCAGCATCATCATCATCAGCAGCAGTAGGATCATCGTCATCATCATCAACATGATAAGCAGCCCACTATTCATCATCATAGTCATCATCATCATCATCAGTATCATCATCACCGTCCATCACCGTCATCGTCGCCACATCATCATCAGCATCATCAGCATGAAAGTCGCCGAAGCAGCAGGATACTTATCACCAGCATCATCATCATCATCAGCATCATCGTCATCGTCATCATCAGCATGATCAGCAGAATACCGTCCACCATCATCATCATCATCATCATCATCAGCAGCAGCAGCATCATCATCAGCAGCATAATCATCATCATCGTCATAATCATCGCCACCCATCCTCATCATCAACATCGCCATCGGCATTGGCATCGGAATCGGCATCGGCATCACTATCAACCTTATGGTAATATTACTAGACCACGTCCGCATCGTCAGCAAAATCATCAGCAGCAGCAGCATCGTCATCATCATCATCAGCAGCATCATCCTCATCATCGCCAACATCATCACCATCATCATCATCATCGTCATCTTCATCATTAACACTATCATCATAGTCAGCATCATCAGCAGCAGTATCATCAGAATCACCATCATCATCAGCATCATCATCCTCATCGTCGTCGCCAGCAAAATCATAGTCATCACAACCACCACCATAATCATCGTCGTCAGCGACATCATCATAGTTAGCAACATCACCATCATCGCCATAATCATCATCATCATCATCATCATCATCATCATCATCATCATCATCACCAGCGGCAGCAACAGCATCACCCCCGCGAATCAACATAAGCATCACCGTCAGCATCGTCAACACCACCACGACCACATTCATCATCATCGTCATCGTCATCAGCATCAACACTATCATCAGCGTGCTTTGAGGGCCGGGCATCGTTTCATGGTCATGCTCCTGCTTGTCCTCCTCCTCCTCCTCCTCCTCCTCCTCCTCCTCCTCTTCCTCCTCAGTATCATCTTCATTATCATCATCATCATCAGCAGCAGCAGCAGCATCATCAGCATCATAACCATCATCATCATCGTCGTCATCATCAGAAGCATCACCATCACCACTTTGATCATCATCAACCACGTCATAATCGCCCCTCATCAGCATCCTTAGCTTCATCATCCGCATCCTCATCAGCATCATCATCATCATCAGCATCATCATCATCATCATCATCATCATCATCATCATCATCATCATCATCATCATCATCATCGCCATCGTCATCGTCATCAGCATCAATCATCATCAACATCAACATCACCACCATCATCATCACCACAATCATCGCCGTCACCATCACCGCCACCACAAGCATGATCGTCATGATCATCGTCGTCATCAGCATCGCCATTTTCAGCATTCGTCGCCAGCAGCAGCATCATCATAAACCCAATCAGTATAGACAGGCAGACTCGTCGCCGTGTTCAACCATCTGCATCATCAATACCATCATAATCATCACCACCACCACCATCATGATCGTCATCACCATCAGAATCGACGTCGTCGTCGTTATCATGAGCATCGCCACCAACACCACCATCACCAGCATCATCAGATACATCATTGTCGTCTCTGTCGTGGTCGTCATCATCGTCATCGTCAGCATCGTCATCATCAGCAGCAGCATCATCATCACCATCGTCATCATCGTCATCATCGCCATCGTCATCGTCATCATCATCATCATCATCAGCGGCAGCATCATCAATATCACCATCATCATCACGGTCAGCATCGTCATCATCATTGGAATCACCATCATCATCACCAACATCACCAAGCATCATCATCACCACCACCACCACCATCATCAGCAGCATCAGCAGTGTCCTCATCATCCTCACCATCAGCATCATCGTCATCAGCATCCTCATCGGCATCAGCACCATGACTAGATCATCGTCACCATCACCACCAATCGCCATCGTCAGCGTCATCGGCATCACAATCGGCAGTATCCTCATCCTCATCATCATCGTCGGCAGCAGCAGCATCATCGCCATCATCATCATCGCCAGCATCGTCATCGTCATCTGCCAAAAAAACGGCATGCGTAAACGTAAGCTGTCCGACGTAGGCACGGGTCTTCTTCGGTCGGCACCGGAAGCGCCAGGGGTACCCAGGCGCCGACCCCCAGATAGCCGTGCGGACCCCCAACGGTCTGCGTTTCTGTCTGTGTGTTGTGCTTCGCTGTCCTTCTTTACTTCCCGCTCCTTCACCCCTCTTCTGGTTCGTCTTCCCCCTCCTCCTCCTCCTCGTCCTCCTCCTGTCTCACCATCACCACAGCCACCATGGCCATCACATTCATCACACCCCGCCCCCCTGTCTCCTCGTCCTCTTTCAACGAAGCCCTGCCTTACAAGTACAGCTGTCCCGCTCACGGGCTGGCGGCGATGCCACCTTCAGCACCTCTCTGTCGCACTGCACCGAGTAGCCCACCTCGCCCTCCTTCGCTCCTCCTCCTGCTCCTAGTCTTCTCTGCCTCCTCCGGGAGGAACAAGAGGAGGAGAGAAAGGACGAGGAACAGGAACAGACCCAAAGATGAGGCAGTCTGCCAGCCCCTGTAGCGGCGTGCATCTGCGCCTGTTTGCGGGGCAGAGCGGCGCGAAGGCGATTCGTACCATTTCAGCGCGTGCCGATCGTCGCCTCAACATCACCAGCATCATCAGCGGCCTGTGCTCTGGAGTCGCCTGAGGTGTATAGAAGGCTCGAACCCGAAGCCTCCGGCGCCACGATCAGGGTGACATCGTAGATGGCCAGAGTACTATCGCAGCAGAGGCTGGAGCCGAGAAGCTCACGAGCGGCTCGTCACTGGCGAGAAACAGGTCGGTACTTCGGCGGGTTGAACGCGCCTCAAAACTGAGCGCCAGGCCCCGGCGGGGCCCCCGACGCCCGCACCCAGCCCTCGCGCGCGTGGTAGACGTTGACGCCGCTGTCCCGCACACACCTCCGGCACCAAAAACGCGGTCCGCGGGCCTTGCATTAAGTCGGGCCTGTCCCCCTACAGGGGGATCTTCGACGAAAAATTAAGAAATATCCCAAACATAATCAAAAAGTAGTCCAAAAATAGTCTGGGGGCCTTTTGTTTGACTCTTCTTTGGCCTTTTTGGGGGGCATCTGTGGGGTACTTTCTTTTATTTGTCGTCGAAAATCCCCCTGCAGGGGGACACGCCCGACTTAAGCCTTGCAGCTCCACGCCTCTCGACATGGTCTCCTCCGACCAAAAAATTACCCTGTGACGTACCCAACCCATTTGTATCATGGGAAACGAGGAGTTGACCGAAACTTGCATGGACAATCAAATTGCAGGATCCGTTGTTTGATATGTAAGCTACTTGGGACACGCGCCTATGGCATGATGCGCAGGAGAACCATACAAGAAAGAAGGGCAACAGCTACAGGCTCGAAGAGGACATGGGGAGACGGGAGCGAAGAGCAGGAGAAAGACGTGCGGGAAGCCCACTGTGCTGGGCCCCTCAGCAGCCCTCGAAAGTGGCGACAGTTTCACAGATCGCAGCCCCCCAGGGATGGCGAGGTCCCATTTGAGTCTGCGGTGAGTACCCACTGTGCTGGGCCCCTCAGCAGCTCTCGAAAGCGGCGACAGTTTCACAGATCGCAGCCCCCAGGGATGGCGAGGTCCCATTTGAGTCTGCGGTGAGTACCCACTGTGTTGGGCCCCTCAGCAGCCCTCGAAAGTGGCGACAGTTTCACAGATCGCAGCCCCCCAGGGATGGCGAGGTCCCATTTGAATCTGCGGTGAGTGCCCACTGTGCTGGGCCCCTCAGCAGCCCTCGAAAGTGGCGACAGTTTCACAGATCGCAGCCCCCAGCAGCCTTTGAATCCGCCGTGAGTGCCCACTGTGCTGGCCCCCCCAGCAAGCCTCGAAAGTGGCTGCAGTTTCACAGATCGCAGCCCCCCAGGGATGGTGAGGTCTAATTTGAATCAACCGTGAGTACCCACTGTGCTGGGCCCCCCAGCAGCCCTCGAAAGTGGCGACAGTTTCACAGATCGCAGCTCCCCAGGGATGGCGAGGTCCCATTTGAATCCGCCATGGGTACCCACTGTGCTGGGCCCCCCAGCAGCCCTCGAAAGTGGCGACAGTTTCACAGATCGCAGCCCCCCAGGGATGGCGAGGTCTAATCTGAATCCCCGTAGGGCGTCACTCCGCTGGGCCCCCCAGCAGCCTCGAAAGTGGCGACAGTTTCACAGATCGCAGCCCCCCAGGGATGGCGAGGTCTAATCTGAATCCCCGTGGGCGTCACTGTGCTGGGCCCCCCAGCAGGCCTCGAAAGTGGCGACAGTTTCACAGATCGCAGCCCCCCAGGGATGGCGAGGTCCATTTGAATCCGCCGTGGGTACCCACTGTGCTGGGCCCCCCAGCAGCCCTCGAAAGTGGCGACAGTTTCACAGATCGCAGCCCCCCAGGGATGGCGAGGTCCCAATTTGAATCCGCCGTGAGTACCCACTGTGCTGGGCCCCCCAGCAGCCCTCGAAAGTGGCGACAGTTTCACAGATCGCAGCCCCCCAGGGATGGCGAGGTCCCATTTGAATCCGCGGTGGGTACCCACTGTGCTGGGCCCCCCAGCAGGCCTCGAAAGTGGCGACAGTTTCACAGATCGCAGCCCCCCAGGGATGGCGAGGTCCCATTTGAATCCGCCGTGGGTGCCCACTGTGCTGGGCCCCCCAGCAGGCCTCGAAAGTGGCGACAGTTTCACAGATCGCAGCCCCCCAGGGATGGCGAGGTCCCATTTGAATCCGCCGTGGGTGCCCACTGTGCTGGGCCCCCCAGAAGCCCTCGAAAGTGGCGACAGTTTCACAGATCGCAGCCCCCCAGCGGATGGCGAGGTCTAATCTGAGTCCCCGTAGGACGTCACTCCGCTGGGCCCCCCAGCAGCCTCGAAAGTGGCGACAGTTTCACAGATCGCAGCCCCCCAGGGATGGCGAGGTCTAATCTGAGTCCCCGTAGGGCGTCACTCCGCTGGGCCCCCCAGCAGCCTTCGAAAGTGGCGACAGTTTCACAGATCGCAGCCCCCCAGGGATGGCGAGGTCTAATCTGAATCCCCGTAGGGCGTCACTCCGCTGGGCCCCCCAGCCTCGAAAGTGGCGACAGTTTCACAGATCGCAGCCCCCCAGGGATGGCGAGGTCTAATCTGAATCCCCGTAGGGCGTCACTCCGCTGGGCCCCCCAGCAGCCTCGAAAGTGGCGACAGTTTCACAGATCGCAGCCCCCCAGGGATGGCGAGGTCTAATCTGAATCCCCGTAGGGCGTCACTCCGCTGGGCCCCCCAGCAGGCCTCGAAAGTGGCGACAGTTTCACAGATCGCAGCCCCCCAGGGATGGCGAGGTCTAATCTGAATCCCCGTAGGGCGTCACTCCGCTGGGCCCCCCAGCAGGCCTCGAAAGTGGCGACAGTTTCACAGATCGCAGCCCCCCAGGGATGGCGAGGTCTAATCTGAATCCCCGTGGGCGTCACTGTGCTGGGCCCCCCAGCAGGCCTCGAAAGTGGCGACAGTTTCACAGATCGCAGCCCCCCAGGGATGGCGAGGTCTAATCTGAATCCCCGTAGGCGTCACTGTGCTGGGCCCCCCAGCAGGCCTCGAAAGTGGCGACAGTTTCACAGATCGCAGCCCCCCAGGGATGGCGAGGTCTAATCTGAATCCCCGTAGGGCGTCACTCCGCTGGGCCCCCCAGCAGCCTCGAAAGTGGCGACAGTTTCACAGATCGCAGCCCCCCAGGGATGGCGAGGTCTAATCTGAATCCCCGTAGGGCGTCACTCCGCTGGCCACCCCAGCAGCCCTCGAAAGTGGCGACAGTTTCACAGATCGCAGCCCCCAGAGAAGAGAGGAGGAGGCGGGAGGGGGCGGGAGGCGGGAAGGAAGGAAGGAAGGAAGGAAGAAGGAAGGAAGGAAGGAAGGAAGGAAGGAAGGAAGGAAGGAAGGAAGGAAGGAAGGAAGGCGGGGGCGGGAGGCGGGAAGGAAGGAAGGAATGAAGGAAGGAAGGAAGGTGGAGACCGCAGTGCTCTATTCAAAACAAGTACCCAACGCAGGAGGGTTGGGAAAAATAATAAAATAGTCCAAACATAGTCTGGGGGCTATTGTTTGACTATGTTTTACCTTTTTGGGGTATTTTGGAGGGTATTGTTTAATTTTTCGTCGAAACTCCCCCTGCCCGACTTGAGCCTTGCAGCTCCACGCCTCTCGGCATGGTCTCCTCCGACCAGCTCGCGGCGACGCTGCCCCCGGCCCTGCGTGCACGGTTTCCCCCAGGGCCGTAGGCGACCCGAGGGGGAGGAGGAGGAGGAGGAGGAGGAGGAGGAGGAGGAGGAGGAGGAGGAGGAGGAGGAGGAGGAGGAGGAGGAGGAGGGAGGAGGGGGGAGGGGGAGGGGGGTGGAGGAGAAGGAGGAGAAGGTGGAGGAGGAGGAGGAGGGAGGAGGAGGAGAGGAGGAGGAGGAGGAGGAGGAGGAGGAGGAGGAGGAGGAGGAGGGAGAGGAGGAGGGAGGAGGAGGAGGGAGGAGGAGGAGGAGGAGGAGGAGGAGGAGGAGGGACGGGGTCGCCTAAGCCCTTCGGAGAAACCCTCCGGCCCTGCGGCGCTCGCCGTGCACCTCGGGCCCCGACGGCCGAGGCCCCCCTCGGCACCCCCGGGGGGCGAGCGCGGCCGCCGGAGCCGCCGCGAGCTGGGCGGCGCAGGCCGATCGGGCTGGGCGAAAGGGGGGGATGGCAAAGTACAGTCGGGGCGTTGACCTAAGGAACCCTCAGTAAGGAACGAGGCCCATTTTTTCCATAAGTTAAACTTCGATTTCCGATCGAAGACCTAAGGAACACCTAGGGCGAGCTGTGAAACACTTAAGGAACGCGGAGCCCCTCCCCAACCAAAAGGGTTCCTTCTTCAGGGCCCCGACTGTAAGGGCTCCCAACTCTTCGCGCTTCACGCTGCGCGAAGCGCGAAGCGCGGACAGCTTCGCGCTCTCGCGTCGCCCCCCCCAGAGGGAGAAGAGGAGGACGAGGAGGAGGGGGAGAAGGAACGAGGACCGCGAAGCGCGAAGCGCGAGTAACTTCGCGCCCTCGACGGCGCCCTTGCAAAGGGGGCGCTTGAGAATCAGCTCACACAGCTGATTCTCCCGGCACCTCCCGGCGCCGGGAGGCGCCCATGTATATCGAGGAATAGGCCCGGCGGCGGGGCCGAAACCAGCTGCACGCAGCAGATTTCGTAACCCCCCCTCTCCCGATCCCCCCCTTTCGTTCGGCCCGACTCGAGAAGCCCGAGGCGTGAACCACCGCCCTGCCCGCCATGACAGGCAAGCCCGCGGGGAGCCGGCGACCCACGAGGCCGCCGATGGCGTACACCGCGCGATCCTCTGAGGCGTGCCAGCGGGCGGCACGAGCTCTCCAATCGCCAGAGCCGCGCGGGCGCCCGCTCCTTCCGAGGAAGCCCGGGATGCCCCGGGCACCCGCGCCAGCCCCGGCGTCTGGAGCCACCAGCGCGCCGCCTGCGCCTCGCGGAACGGCGGCTGGACCAGCGACCCCCGCAGCGCCCGCCGCCGCAGCGGGCAGGACTGCCCCTCCGCCTCCCGGTGGCGAGCCTCGGGTTGCAGTGGCACGTGAGCGGAAGGGCAGCGTGGGCGCAAGGGCAGCGTGGGCCACCCCGGCAGCATGAGCTCCAAACAGCGCGAAGCCGTCGACAAAGGCCTGCGGCGGGGGAGCCCGGGACCCGCAGATCTGACCACGAGGATCACACCAGCTGGGACGGAACGGAACGGAACGGAACGCCTGTGCGGGCATGCGCCCGGGCCCCTTAAGGGCGAGGCGGGTGAGGCCATGGCCTCGCATGAGAAGCTGCGCGCGTCGGGGGTCTACTCAGGACAACGCGTACTTCAGGAGCTGATTTACCGACAGTCCCCACTCATCCGTTTTCTCATGATGTAGCCACGTCGTCTCGTTGAAATCGTAGTGCCAAAGCCTGCACATGCAAATGACCGATGTCGGCCCCCACCGCCTACGTCTCCTCAGATGGCGATCGTGATCGGGAATGACCCCGCAGGCAGCGTCCGTGCAGGGCCGCGCCGCCACCACCAGACGGCCGTGGTACATCGGCGGCCCTGGCACGCGGTAGCGAACCATCACTGCGCCCTCCCAGTCTGAAGGCGGCCAGGCTGAAGGCAGCCTGGTGGCATGTGTCGCCAGGCTGAAGGCGGCCATCACTGCGCCCTCCTAGTCATCGCTGAGCCCTAGGAGCGCGATCTGCGCCCAGGCTTGCTCGTCAAGCGAGGGCGGAGCGGCCGAGACGACGGGCGTCGGCGGGCCCACAGATCACACACGCCAGCGCCAGTGCCGTTGCAGCCTGGCCCAGCAGCGAGGGTGCCGTGCACGTGCACGACGAAGCTGGCACCGTCGGGCAGGAGAGGGCGGGCGAGCACGCAAGGCACCCACACAGGCAAGCCAGTGCTGACCCCGCGCGCGAGCTCGAGGGCGGCAGCGCGCGCAACTTGCACAGCTGGAAAAAAACTGGAGCCATCCATGCGTACGGGTGAATACGAGTGGACGGTGGAGCTCCAATCCCCGCAGGCAACATTCCTGTGCAAGCACTCTCAGAATCATCAGCATCATCATAATGGTTAGCAGCCGCATTAGTAGCCTTAGCACCATCCACATCGCAAAAATCATCAACCTGTATACCGCCATGGTCATCAGGATGGTGGTCATCATCACCAACTCCGAACGGTTAAGCATGTGAAAATAAAGAGCGCCAGCCAGCCAGCCAGTCCATGAAGAAAGATCGGTCTTCCGAACGACGACTAGGACAAGAAGGAGGACAGAGGGAAGGAGCAGAAGGGCGATGGAGGGAGGAGGGATCAAGGAGGAAGGAGGAGGACCAAAGAGACCCGTTCGCAAGGAGGGAGCACGGAGGAGAAAGGGAAGCGCCTCCTCCCCCCCTCCTCCCTCACCCTCACCCATCCTCGCCCCCCCGCGTGTGCTTCTCCTCCCCCACGGGACGGAGGAGGACGGAGGACGAGGAAGACCACCAGAAGCAGGAGCGCGAGGCCGGGCGCGGCAGCAGACGAGCACGATCAGGGGTGGGAAGAACCTCACCCCTGAAGTTAGGTCGGGCCTGTCCCCCTACTGGCGGATTTTGGACGGAAAATAAAGATTCAGAACTAATCAAAATTGCTCCAAAAATCCTCCCCAGACTATTTTTTTACTATTTTTGAATATGCCTCCTGTAGGGGGACAGGCCCGACTTAACCCTGAAGCGAACAGGGTATCCACTCGCGGCCGGCTCTTCTTCTCAGGGGGGGCACGGAGCCTCGCAGCAAGCCTTACCCCACAGAGCCTCACGGGAGCCCCCGTTAGACACGACGGACGGGTAGGAGGAGCGGCAGGAAGGGAAGGGAAGGAGGAGCAGGACGAGCAGGAAGAGCACGAGCGGGAGGGGGAGGGGGTGCGGCCCCGACTCGCGAGGCTGTCACTCCCAGCCCATATTGAATGGGCCCAGGGCCACACGAATAGATACACACTAATCCCAAGGTTCCCTATATTTTCTATATTTTCGGAAGTTCGGCCTCTCCCCCATGTTCCCATATGTTGCACATGTTCCCGGGAATCGACTGTTATTTGTGTCTGTGTTTTTTCTCCCTGGATGATGCCATGCTGGCCGCCAGATGGAGGGTGCGGCGGGTTCGTCTCGTGTCGATCCCAGGGTTGGTTCCTTACACCGCGGGGATCGTTCCAACCTCGAACGATCAGCTATTTCCGACACGTCAGATCTTTCAACATCGACAGGCTCTGGGTCGCCAGCGGCGCTCAACGTTGAACGCCGGCGGCCGGGTCGCAGCCGGTCGACACGAGACGAACCTACTGAACCGGGGGAACGCGGATGTTACTCGTGGTCCTGGGGGGGGGGGGGGGGGCGACGTCTCCGAACGCCTACAGTTTGAGCGAGAAGTCTACATCCTGGACAGCCTCCAGGAGGGCAGCTTTTGGGCGAGGGCTGCAGAGGGGGGCCGTGAGCAAGAGGGGGCCCAGGGGGACAGCAGAGGTGTTCGGCCTGGCCCCAGCACAGCCTGCCTGCGCGACTGCGCGAGTGCGAGGGCCGACAGGCTTGTTGGCGGTGCGCACAAGGGGGGTAGGGGGAGGGGGGAAGGCTTCTTTTGAGCAGGGACCGACCGCCCTGGCATTTCTGTAGGCCTACCACGAAATGTTATTCGAACCAAAAAATGTTTTAAGAACAAGGACAATGTTCTTGGAACATAGACCCGATGTGTCAAAATAAAACAATATCGGCCAGAAATGTTCCAAAAACAATTCGTGCAAACCACAAAAGGTTGTTAGAACATTGTTTGGTGGGCCTATAGGCACGCCAAGAGGCTTCGCTACTGCTTGATTCTTAGAAGGAGGCTTCGGGAATCTTCTGACCCGCGTCTATCCAGACCTGGGTCAATCTAGACTTGCAGAGTCCTGCAAAATCCTGCAAGGTTCTGCACCCAGACCCGGGTCAATGTCAAGAATCCTGCAAGATCCTCCAGGATCCTGCACCCAAACCCGGGTCAATGCGACCCTGGCCCTGCAGGAGCCTGCAAGATCCAGCGTTCTGGCTGACCCCCGTTTGTATTGACCCCCGCCTCTTGAGCCCCGAAGGCTGCTTCCTAGAAGGCGCCGGCTCTGCATCTGCAGGTAAGGCCCGCGCCTTCTAAGGAGCAGCCTCCCTCGAAGAAGCCTTCCCCCCTCCTCCACCCCCACCTTGCGAGGCGGGAATATATCCATATCCACCGCCTGGGAAACGACGTCATGGTGCCCCAGCGGGCGGCAGATATGGATCTATTTTGGCCCCTGGGGGCCCGGAAATGTCCATATCCACCGCCTGCCGAAGTCCCCGAAAGTTGATCCTCCAGGCGGTGGTCATGGAGAAATTCCCGCCTCGGACCCCTGCGCGTCGACGAACTTGGGGCCTCCCAGGAGGAGCGGCAGCCAGAAGGGCAGGGGAGGATGAAGGGGCCCTGGGACACACAAATACATACACACAAATAACAGGATCCCCCATATTCCCCAATATTTTCTGGGTTTCTGTCTTCCCCCCCCGCTTCCCATATTTTCCAATATTTTCTGGGGGATCGACGATTGATTGTGTCTGTGTTTTTTTCACTCCTAATTGGGGCCTCCCAGGGGGAGCGGCAGCCAAGAGGGCAGGGGAGAAGGAGCGGCAGGGAGGAGGAGCTGGGCCCCGGACCTCCAGCGCACGGAAGCCACAGCAGCAGAAGAGGGCAGAGCTGGCCAGTCGCACACTTCGCAGCACGAGATGGAGGAGGAGGATGAGGAGGAGGAGGAGCAGGAGGAGGAGGAGGAGGAGGGAGGAGGGGGAGGAGGAGGAGGAGGAGGAGGAGGAGGAGGAGGAGGAGGACAGGTCGCCTGAGGACCGCCAAGGACTGCTCCTGAAGAAACGCTGTCGCAACTTCAGGAGGCCCACAGCTGAGAGACAAAAAACCACAGGTTCTGATGTCTGGGACCCTCTCTGTCGACGTGGGCACCCGAAGACCTCGACCCCTTTCCCTGGGGCCGCCCTGACATGCTGGAGCTGTGTCAAACGGCCTCCGCAGACCGAAAACGTTTAAACTGGCGGTCATAAAGTTTGGCGCGGCGCCCAGATCTGAAAGGAGGAGAACATAGAATCGAATAGGCGAGTCGGATCGGCGACCGAGAAGAATCGGCTCGGCGGAAATCGGCAGCCAAGTCGGGAGAAGTCGGGTCGGCGGAGACCGGCAGGCTAGCAAATCCTCCAGTGGGGAGACGGAGTCCAAGTCGGGGTCCGAAATCGGATCAAACTGGAGTCCGGATCGATCGAAAACGAATCGAATCGAGTCGGAGGAGTCAAAATGAGCCCTGGCCCTGAGTGAAGGAGCAGAAGGCGCAGGACAGCCACCGGCGGGAAGAGCGGGAGGGCGCAAGCTCCCCGCCAATGGGCAGGCGCCAGGATCGGGGCAGTGTCTGCGGATCAAGCTCAGCGCGGCCTGGGCAGCGCCGCTGTGTTCATCCTCGTCCGTTTCCTCCTCCTCATCCTCCTCCTTCACCAACTGTTCCTCCTCCTCCCCCTCCTCCTCCTACTCCTCCTCCTCCTCCTCCTCGTCTTCCTCCTCCTCCTCGTCCTCCTCCTTATCTTCCTCAGACTCGTCGTATAGAACCACAACCACCACAACCACCACTACCACCACCACCATCATCATCAGCATCATCATAAGCATCATCATCAACAACATCATCTTTGTCATCACCATCATCACCATCATCATCATCATCATCATCATCATCATCATCATCATCATCATCATCATCATCATCATCATCATCATCATCATCATCATTATCAGCAGCAGCATCATCGTCATCATCATCATCATCAGCATCGTCATCATCGTGCTCATGATTAGCAATAACAACATCATCATCGTGAATCCGGATCGTCGTCGCCGCCAGAATCCACATCATCATCATCCACATGACCGTCGGCATCGTCATTGTCATTAGAAGCATCAACATCATCAGAAGCAGCATCACCATCAGCAACAACAGTTTCATCATCGTCATCGTCATCGTCATCGTCCCGTCATCGTATCGGCAGCATCATCACCATCGGCATCGTCATCATCATCGTCGTCATCACCATCGCCATCAACAATGTCGGCATGACCACAGTTATCATCATCGCGCCCATCATCAACATCACACATACCATGTTAGTGAATAGCATCAACACACAAATCTCTTCATAACCACCTGATTACCATCGCCCGGCTGAACAGTGTCAACAATATCGATAATGGTGTCGTCATCGGCATTACCAAAGTCCACACAACCATCCCAATCGCCGTCAGCATCACCATCGTCCGCATCGCCATCGCGATCGTCATCTCACTGCACATCGGGATGCTCGCCGTAGCCATCATCCTCATGATTGCCTACATCATCATCAACATCAGCAGCAGCACCACCGTCTTCATCATCAGGAGGTCCCCCACCCGCCCTTAACTTTCAGAGCTGCGATCTCTGTCATAAGTCTACGGCGCGCGAAACCCAATCGAACAGCAATGCTGGCGGCGGCAGCGAGCGAAGGACCCATCGAAATCAACATCATGTGCCGTTCAGGATTGTTCTCGCGGCCCGCCGCAAGCAGGGACGGGTCTCTGTCTGTCAGAAAATGGGCGGGAAGCTCGAGCGAAATAGAACGGACTCTGTGCTGCACCCCCTACACGTTCGCAGGGCAAGCCGGAGGTCCCCCACACCGCCCTTAATTATCAGTTGTGATATCTGTCATCCGCATGTGGCGCGTGAAACCCAATCGAGCAGCGACGCTGGCGGCGGCACCGAGCGAACGACCCACTGAAACCAACATCTTTGCCAAACATCGAGGCATGCATTGGTCGCAACCGGTTCTGCAACGCACGTAACTCGTAGAGATGGGGAGGGCGAAATGGGAACGAGTGGAGACTCTGCCTGAAGACGCGATGAAAGTCGCCGTCAATGAACACTTCAGCCAAAACGTTGCACAAATAATTGGGACAGGCGGCAGCTCGAGCTGCTCAGTGAAGCCATCACGGCCGTGAAGGCCATGATGCTTCTTATTCGTGAACGCGCATGTCCATTGGATGGGTCGAAAACGCTGCGATGAATCGCAGGCCCGAGGCAGAAAGAGAACGCGAAACCTGACAGATTTACACCACATAGCAGCCCAGCCACATCAGGTCGCAATGGTACCGCGCACACCAGGCCAACGTAAAACACGACGGGCGGAGCCGACTCTTCCACATGTAGGATGACTGAAAGTTCTCCCATAGAAAAGGAACTCGCATCTGTTGACAAGCATTGAAATTCTGAACAGGCACCTGCAGAATTCCATTGCCCTCACCAACTGCAGACTGAAGATAAAGGGGGGGGAGCGCGGGCCTTGATCACATACGAGACCCGACGGAGGATACAGGGCCTAAGGAGGCCACCTCGTGGACCCTGCAACACCTCGGGAGAAAACACGGAGAAACCACGTTTCCTGAGAGTGTTCGTGGCATGCTCTGACCCTGAGAACACTTCGACCAAAAAACGGCTGGCCTTGGCTCTAGACGGGAGCAGATGGGGCCTCTCGCTTGACCTGCGGCTAGCAGCGCGCGCAGCTTGGCCGGGGCCCGAAGACGGCACTCCCTCGAGCGAGGCGCAATCTGGGCCCGCACTGCTTGGATCAGGCCGCGCTGCTCGCGGCGGCGGACGGACACGGGCTGCCTCCGCCCGCCGCGACGCCGAACCTCCAGCGGAGAGACCCCCCCCGTGAAACGGTCGATCGAGGCTCCGCTGCGCCGAGCCATGCACAGCACGGGCTGCTAGCCGTCGAGGCCGAGGGAGGCCGCCGCGCTGTCGAAGGTCCGCTTCACATCGGTCATGGTGAACGTCCAGAGCGGGTCGGTCGGCGCGCCCTGGCCTTGCTATACAATGAGAAAGGCGAACCAGGGACGGGCAATGTCTACGGTGTCGTCCATCTCGCCCGTCTTGCTCGGCCTCCTGAGGTAGTCGGGATTGATATGTACCGTTGCCTTCGGCATCTTCGCTCGAGGCGGCAGCGCCGGGCCCTACGTCGCGCGACGTGCCTCAAGCAGGCGTCGACCATCAGCAGCCAGTAGAGGTGCATCTCCACCTTGCCACTGAGCTGCCACAGCCGCCGAGCCACGCCCACGCAGGCTGCCTGGGGCCGCGGGCGGCGCGCCCGCGACGGCCGCGGCATCCTCCAGCCCCGTAGCGCGCGATGTGCACGAGGGAGCGCGAGGCGGCCCTTGCTCTAGCAGTCGGGCACGTGGATGGCGACGGCGGCGATCAGCCTCTCGCCCGTCGAGGCGACCTCCCCCGTCAGGCACAGCTTGCCGAGAACACCACCACGGCGGCGTCCAGCAGGGGCGCGGCAACTTCCAGCGCCCCCAGCTTGGTGGTCGCCGGGAACTGCTCCAGCAAGTTGCGGCACAGCTGGCGGCTGCCCCCCCCCACGGCGGCGGTCTCCGCGATGAACAACTGGCGGGCGGGCCCAGCATCCAGGCAGCGCCGCACTGACCTCGGCATCTCCCGCAGGGGGATCGAGGGCGCGATGGGCGGCGCGAAGCTCGGCGGGAACGGGCGCTCCACCGGGCGCGCCAGCTGTGGGCGCGCAGTTCGAGCCAGGCGGGCTCGGGCGGCCCGCGGCCTAATGGTCGCGACCTGAGCTCAGACTCGCACCAAAGCAAGGGCCCGAGCAGCCGCCGGCGGCGGCTGAGCTGGAGCTGCCCGCCCAGGCCGCGAAAACAGCCGGGCGCCAGAATCCGGGGGCGCCCGCGCCAGCCTGCGGGCGGCCGCCGGCGTGCACGACGGCGGGGCCGCAGCTGGCGGCCCTGCGCAGCATGCGCTCGCCAGTCCACGGCGCGCGCTCGTTGTCCGTCAGCACGCTCGCGGGCACGGCTGGCGCCATCGGCGCCGTTCAGCTCGCTGGGCACCCATCGCCTCTGGATACGTGAGCCCGCGGCCAAAGGCGAGGGCAGCCCGTCTGCGAAGTATATCGAGCAAGTACATGCCAAAGCAACGACCTCTCGAAAGCGGGAGCGCAAGCGCAATATCATCCCCCGAGACTACGCGCCTCATCCCCCAAGCATCCGCATCCAACAGAATCAGCTTGGCGGCGCGTAGATCCCCTCATGCGTCTCTCGGCACATGGGATCCACCCTGAACAGCGGGGCGCAGCGAAGCTGTTTCCAGTTGGGGCGGCGGAGGGCGCGCGCACACAGTTCGGGAAAGCGTTTGTCAGACTCGCCCCTCAGGGCTGAGAACGACGGCTCGGCGTCAAGCAAGGCGGCCTCGGCCGCGCGAGCCGCGCGGCCACGCGGCCGCCGAGCCCCGCACGATGAAAATGCTTCAGATGATCTTCAGCTTCTTCCGCGCTGACGCCCACGACGGCCGAGCACGCTGACACCCCTGCCGAACAATGGCGCAGGCGGCGCCGAAGCAGCTCGGGCTCTCGCAGCGACAGAGCGCCGCGAAAGCAATGGCCCAGCACGCGCTCGATGTCGCCGCTAGGCACTCTCTGGGGAGACGCAGCGCCAGATAGCCGAGAACGAGGCGCAGTTTCCAGAAGCGGCGCGGCGCCAGCGTGGCTCGCGCAGGCCACCCCGCCTAACAACCCCCAGCCCCCCCCCCCCCCGCCACCCCCCAGCATCGTCGCCGAGTCCGCCGCGTCGGTCTCGCCGTGCACGGCGAGCCCCGCGGCCTCCCTCGCCTGGGAGGCCAGCCGCCCGACGCGCGCCACCCCCCCCCCGATCCGCGCCGACGACGAGCCCGTCGTCGACGTAGAGGGAGCGGATCGGCCCGGCAAGCGGCGTCGGCGGCGGCACGAAGTCCACGGCACGCAGCTCGGGCCCGAGGGCGTCGCAACCGCCCAGCACGCACTCGCGGGCCCTCTGCGAGAAGTAGAGCGCCCAGCTCCAGCCCATCGGCGCCACAACATTCATTCGAGCTGAGAGGCTGGGGGCCCGAGCCGCCCAGGCGCCTCGCGCGCGACAGGGCCTGACAGTGCAGGGCAAAGTGCACGTGACAGTAATGGCGCGCTCTGGTAGCCGCGAGTAGCATACGCTGAGGGCCTCTCTGCGCCAGATCACAAGCAGCCCCATCGAACACATCTCAACCTTCACAAGCAACGCCTCTCCGCGCGACCGCTTTGGCTAGCCCCCCCGACTGAGCGAAGACCTCGGCCGCTTTCCGTTGAATCGGCGCCTTCGCGCCGGCGGGGGGTTCAGCCCGACGGAACGCCCATGGAGCCAAACGAGAAAGCGCTTCACGGCGAGGCGGCTGTAGGCCAGGGCCTCTGGCGGGACCCCGTTGATCGCCTGCTTACGCCTGCCCAAACTCTTCGCGTCGCCGAACGGCGTTGAACGTCTCCCAGCCTTCCCGCTTCTGCAGCATGGCGTCGCAGGAGGCCCCTCCGCCCCGCATCTGATCCGCGCGCAGCTGCTCC